ATTCCTTCCTTTGTGGAAGTTATTAAGGCAGAGTGGGGACATCCTAATGAGGGCAGAACAGTAAGCAGACAGGAAATGACATTTTATAAAAGGCAACACAATAAAGCTGATATTTCTATGCTTGAAGTAGCTATGATCTGAGCATTTATATCAAAGGACATAGTCACTTTGTGATGAGGTTTACAGACCCCACACTAAGGTTAAAGGAACGGTGGGACAGTATTGGGTCAAGAAGGCCTTGCCCCATAGCAGCTGCCAGGCATACTCCCTGTAGAAGACCATCTTAAAAGGCAACTCTGGCAGGCAGACTGGGGAAACAGTGATGAGAGACTGGCTGCAAGAAGGCAGACAGGCGGTAGCTGTTGAAGCAGAGCAATCTACAGGGGGAACACTGGGACCGTGAGTAAGACTTGGCTGGCAGACCTGGGCCCCGCCCTCTTTCCTCCCTTCTTCCTGACTATGGGAGAACAACTGGACCCTGGGAGTGAGGTGGGAAGCTGCCCCCCAACCCCAAGTGGAGCTCTAAATTATTGAGACCGTGCAAAGAGAAAGCTGGGAAGGTAGGAAGCAGCCCAGGGAAGGCTAACCTAGATCAGCAGCTAGAAGGGACTGACCCATCCCTGGCCTCTCCCTCCTTGGGTCCTGCGCCAGGACTCAGTAGAGAGGGAGAGGTCCCTCTGCCCTTCCCTCCTCCCACTGGTCGCCTGAGAGATCCTGGAGGTGGGAGTGTGGGGTGCGATAAACTATGTGTTGGCTGCTAGGCCCCCCAGACTGCCCGGAAGAGTTGCCCCAAGATTTGGAGAGATTGTTTGGCTATGGCCTGACCACTAGGCCTACTGGGCCCAGAGTGATGCCTGCTACACATCTGAGGAGACAATTATTTATTTTCACGGAAATGTTCAGATCTAAAGATGGGGCTTCAGTGAGAAAATACGAAGTAGCATAGGACACTCTTCAAATATAGCTATCCCACATCTACTTGCTATGGCAGCATTTTGTAGGTGCAATGAACTGTATTAAATATCTTTTTCTGTAGGCAAAATATTAAAATTCACTCTAAACAAGGTCACACTGGCTTCATTTCTGTCTTTCTTTAGAGTATCTAAATGGCTTTGATGTAATCTGGAAGACACTGACTATGTCAGACACAGAAAATCAACTGATATTTGAAGTGAATTCTTTTCTCAGGCAAGCTGACCCAGCAGAACAGTTGTTTGGATAGACCCTGTAAATAATAAAGTCTAGGACTGAAATACCAGCTCTCACTGACGTGAATGGGAATTTTGCCATTGACTTCAATAGGCCAGGATTTCACTGCTGAAGACTACACACTACTTAATATTACTCAAATCAGATAGAATTAAACTACATCATTTTGGAGTTAAAAAATAAATCACAGCCAAGTCTTATTCCTAAAAGCAGGACAGAGGTTAGAAGGAAATGTAACATCCTTGAGAGAGAGAGAATTCTTTATCCATTAGATACAGAACTGACTCATACAAGTGGGTCCTAGAGGTAATACAAGAAGAATACTGATCACAGGAGAGTGTATTTCACCTCGTTTTCCATGCAGTCAATTTCACACTGGACAGAAAAACCAAGCAAGATCTAATAAGGCAGAGAACACTTTCTGGAGAAAGAGAAGTGGAGTCTCCTTCACAATGATAATTTATATATACACACTACATAGGATCACATTTTATTATTTGTGTAACCCTGAGAAGTTCAGGGAGTCTGAGCACTGTTGGCTCACAAAAGTCTAAACAAACATATAATGTAATTCAGATTTCGCAAAGAAACTCTAATCAATTCCTCACACAGGTTCCCCAGGGGACTGCTTAACATCACTAGATATATAGGAAATACACAATGCTGCCATGTACCAATAAGATTATGTCACCAAAGATTCAGAAGATTTCCTTACAAATATGTGGCCCAATCCCTCCATCGTCACTATCCCTTGAATTACTGGTTCCAAGAGAGTTCACCAAGGTTCTGGTGTGGGTAGTGGCTCAGTTAAGGGGAGTATATTTATACCTCTTTATGGATGACATTCTGGTCAGAGCAGCTTGAAAAGACATTCAGTATTTTAACCAATAAGAAAGAGAAATTTTATATCAGCCCAGAAACCATATCACTGTGGAGCAGAAATAAATACCACACTGGAAAAAAATTTCCTTAAGAAAAGGAAGATTTCTAAAGATTGCAATTTGCAATACTGCCATTCTGCCTGCATGTTTTCAACTTCTAATAATTGCGGGTCCTGGAGAAATTTTCTTCATGTTATTCCACTGACATTTTCTCTCATTTATTCTCCAAGTATTTCATTCTGCACATCGCAGCTTCTCTCTCTCTCTCTCACACACACACACACAAACCCCACTCCCTAGTAGCACCCCATTTCCACAATGTTTGAGGTTCACCATGTTTCGTTCCACCCAGGAAGAGGCTTCAAAGACTGGTGATCTAGAGGCAATAATTTGAGAACGACTGTGCTATCTGTGTTCTATATACTCAAGCTGGATTATCCACTGTTAAAATTCCCTCCATCTCAATTGCATGGCCAAAATTTTAAAAATTGTTCGGTGTCCTGTTATTCTATTCTATTAAGCATCTCAATTATTCAATCAATAGTACTACTTAGGGCAAGGCTGTGATTTGCAGGGGTGCAGCCTTCTGGTCTGTGTCCTGTGGGATAGGGCAGCCCCCACAGAGATGCTACTCCCCTCTCCCATGTAGGTTGGCAGACAGTGGCCAGATAGGAGTAGGCAATGGGCAGAGCCCCAGCACACCAGCTGAGCCAGCCCAGAGGGAAAAATGTTCTGTTACTGGTATAAGCCAGGAAGAGGAAACCAGGGGAGGAACTGTGACTGTTCAAATCAGTTTCTTTCTTAGACTGTTCCTGGGGCAGTGCATCTAAATGTTACCTCTCATCCAAGTACAATCATAATCCAGTCCTTCATCTCTAACACTGATAAATACAAGTTTTTGTTTGTTTGTTTCATTTAAAATGGCATTCACCAAACTAATCATCCAGTTACCCAATATTTACCTACTCATGCATTTTATTGTTTTTTTCTTTCAAGTCTGTCAGACCTAAGTTTCACATGACATGCCAATACTATTTTGCACTAGCATAACTACTAGTGGATTCCATTGTATACACAGGGTTTATGTGTTTGCTTATTTGTAAATTGATGGAACTTCAATAAATATTTTGATTTAAAAAAACAACTCTGATGCATTCATTTGTGTGTTAAATTACTGATTAAAGTAGTAAGATTAGTATTCAAGCCGATACCAAAATCTCTCACAGCAGAGCTGCCAAACACAACAGAAGAGTATTACACTATTAGAAAAAAACTGGTTCACAGAAACATAGTTCTCCTTTACCTCTTATAAAAACAGGCAGGAGCTAATCCCCTTTTAATCATGTTACTAATTAGACAAGATAGTTTCCAGTTCTGTTTTATTCTTAAATTCTTTCTACATCTCATTTTAGCATACTACAGCATCTTGTTTATAGTACATTGAGAAACAAGATCTATAGACAAATAATGTCTATTGACATTCTAATTTGCAACATGGGTGTGGAACAAGTAACTATATAGAAAATATTCCACTAAAAATCATTAGAAACCAGTGCAATTGCAACTAGGTCCACAGTAGACAAAGTGCATTTCCTTTTAAAGGGATAGTGCCAAGCACTTCAGGTTTTTTAACTCTTTATGATGGAGACTCTAGTTGGTTAATGATTAAATGTTCACAAGTGCCACATTAGTCCTTTTTTTGGATTTTTCTGTTTCATGCTTTCAAGAAAGTTTGAAGAATTTGCTTGGAAAATAAATAAAAACTAATATGCAGCTTCAGAGTAACAGCCGTGTTAGTCTGTATTCGCAAAAAGAAAAGGAGTACTTGTGGCACCTTAGAGACTCAAATAAATTGGTTAGTCTCTAAGGTGCTATAAGTACTTTTTTTCTAATATGCAGCTGTCACTATTAAAGTCAGCATTTGCCAGCAGTTAGCATGAAGTGGAATCTGAGATACTAAAGTTTCCCCCTGCACCTTGAATAGGAAATAACTGTAGTAGCTGCATGATATCTGTTGTCAAATACTGACTTTTTAATGGTGACCACTAAAGCTGGTCAAAATGTTCAAACTTTCAAAAGTTCAATGAAATTGTTTTTCTGTTTTTTTCAACCATCTTATAGAATGGTCATAATAAAAAAAATCAAAATTTCGATGAAAAGTTTTCACCAAACCAATTCGAAATATTTTCACAAAAAGAATTCTGCATTTTTTACCTGCTTTAATAAACAACTTAAGATTATGTGGAGTTTTCAAATATTGTTTGTCACATTTTGGGCTGGTTTTACTAACTAATGACAGGTGACACATAAAAATAGCACTTCCTGAACCTTCATCCACAACTCAAACCAAACCAAGCCTTTTTTGAGGTTTCATAAAATTCAAATAATTCTTTTTATCTTCATGTGTCTGACTGTCTAAGTATTTCTCACACATCTGTGGAATCTTGGCATCTTTGCACTGCTGGTGTTTGTTTGGAGACCTGAAATGATTTACTGACATAATGTACAACAAGAAAGATTGCTCTTGCCATATTTCCAGGCCAACCTAAAGAAATACCAGAAACCATAAGATAATGTCTCTTCTTTTCTTACATTTACAGAACCAAGAGTTTCTGACAGTTACATTTAAGTATCAAAACCTCTGAATGCTTATCTGCACTAGATCCTTGAACTACTAACCTTGAAATAATCTAAAAGGTAAGAATTTTCTGTGACCATTTTGGAGGGAAATAAAAAAAACTCATTTTTCAGATTTTTTCACCAATTTTTTCCCTCTTCTTTCTCCACATTCCCTGTTCTCTTTTTTGCCTCTTCCCCTTACTTTTCCTTTTTTATATTTTGCCATAATAAATTAACTATTTGTACTTATGTATAAAGTCACACCTTTGATTATCTCTGCTAATGACATACCTTAGGTAAGATTGCCACCTGTCCAGGTTTTCCAACGATTGTCCCTTTTTTGAGGTAGCTGTCCTGGGAAATCTGTAAGGGTGCTCAGTATAAGCTGCAAGCTGTCCAGTTTTATGGGCACAGGATCATCCCAGATGTCCTGGTTTTTTGTACCTCAGAGGTGGCAACCCTAACCTCAGGCCTCACCTGACAGGAACCGGGTTTAATTTTTCTCTCGTGGATCAGTAACTGGTTAAAAGATAGGAAACAAAGGGTAGGAATAAATGGTCAGTTTTCAGAATGGAGAGAAGTAAATAGTGGTGTTCCCCAGGGATCTATACTGGGACTAGTGCTATTCAACACATTTATAAATTATCTGGAAAAAGGGGTAAACAGTGAGATGGCAAAATTTGCAGACAATATAAAATTATTCAAGGTAGCTAAGTTCAAAGCTGACTGCAAAGAGTTACAAAGGAATCTCACTAAACTGGGTGACTGGGGAATAAAATGGCAGCTGAAATTCAATGTTGATAATTGCAATGTACTGCACATTGGAAAACAATCCCAACTATACGTACAAAACGATGGGATTTAAATTAGCTAGTACCGCCCCAGAAAGAGAACTTGGAGTCATTGTGGATAGTTCTCTGAAAACATCCACACAATGTGCAGCAGCACTCAAAAAAGCTAACAGAATGTTAGACACCATTAAGAAAGACAGAAAATATCACAATATCACTATATAAAACCATGATACACTCATACCTTGAATATCCATGCAGTTCTGGTCACCCCATCTCAAAAAAGATATATTAGAATTGGAAAAGGTACAAAGAAGGGCAACAAAAATGATTAGGGGTATGGAACAGCTTCTGTATGCGGAGAGATTAAAAAGACTTGGACTTTTCAGCTTGGAAAAGAGATGACTAAGAGGGGGATATGATAGAGGTCTATAAAATTGTGCATGGTGTGGAGAAAGTGAATAAGGAAGTGTTATTTACTCCTCATAACACAAGTACCAGGGGTCACCCAATGAAATTCATAGGCAGAAAGTTTAAAACAAACAAAAGGAAGTGCTTCTTTACACTATGCACAGTCAGCTTATGGAACTTGTTGCCAGGGGATGTTGTGAAGGCCAAAAGTATAACCGGGTTCAAAAAAATAATTAGATAAGTTCATGGAGGGTAGGTCATCAATGGCGATTAGCCAGGATAGTCAGGGATGCAACCGCATGCTCTGGGTTTTCCTAGCCTCTGATTGCCAGACGTTGGGAGTGGACGAAAGGGAATGGATCACTTGATGATTGTATGTTCTGTTAATTCTGTCATGCAATGTTCACTAGTTCACTGATGGAGACCAGAATCTTCTTGCCAGCTCCTCTGCATCATACTGCAAAGTTTCCTTCCTGCTCTGGACTTCCTACCATACCTGGGCTTACCAGGCCTTCTCATTAGGATCCCTGATTGATATATTCAGCTCCTTGCCTCCAGTCACATCACTTGTCTGTCTTACTTTGGCAGACACTGTTTCACAGCTTTTTCCTAAACTTCATCTCAAACAGAGATATTTCACCACTTTGTGACTTACACTGTCTCACAGAGCTTATCTGCCCCTCTTAAACCTGCATGGCAGCACTCAGACCATCTCTCCAGCTGCATTAGCAGCAGAATTTAGCAGATGCCTAACTGTGTAGCAATGCTTTTCCTCTTCTGCGACTATGTGGCACTCTCAACCCTGGAACCTATTTTTCCATGCATTCTTTGATTCTGCTCCTACCTCCGGTCACCTGAGGGAGAGGCAGTACCCCAGCATGCATTTTATTGTAATGATTCTCATTTAAATGGGATGCTGTCATGACACATATCCTAAAATCTGGAATAAACCCCAGTGCTGAAAACTGAGCTTATTCAACCTCAGACAACACTTGGCAGCCAAAAGGAATTCTGTCCAACATCCATATTGACAAAAGAAGTTGAAAGTCACATTTTGGGACAGACAAATGCTCTTTTCACTTGGTAAAGTGAAAAATTTTAATAGCCTACGACTGCATCTGAAGAGAGTTATTAAACAACTGGAACTATGAAAAATTAGCATGCTGGTTATGATGAATTACACCTCCAGAATTCTGACAAATATAGTAAAGTATAGATAAAAGGCTTTGCCAGGCAGAAGGGAGGATGTAACAGAGGCTTAAGAGTGGTAAAAGCAGGTCCCTTATTTGGGAAAGAATCAAACAAATGATGCAGCGAACAAAATGCTGGTCAGCTTGGCGGCTTCACTGGAAAAGGCTATGGGTAAGATTCTGGACGCTTTGACCAGGAACACAATGTACCTTTTGCAAGACTGTTGTGTGCTGTGACTCAGAGAAAGGCAAATCAGTATGGATTGATAGACATAGAGTTCTTTTGGGTATATAAGAGAACTGAGAGACAGAAGTGAAAGAGTGTATATTAGGTGTTTGTGGTTTAGATTTGCTGATAATATTACCCTGCTCAAAAGGAACAGTGGGCCAAATTCTGCTTTCAGTGGAAAACCCAGCCCCCACCTCCATGAGTGTGAAACTCCTCTAGGCAGAAAAAGTGGAGTGATTCACTGCGCAAAAGAGGGGCCTAGATCCACGAGATTATGCAAGGGGTGCTTCCCGAATGGTAGCATCCACTGAGACGATGAGGGAATGGCCAAAAACTTGCACTGCATGGATTCTCCAGGGCTCCCCAATATAATGCAGTTGTGTTAGGGCATAACACATTAGCCCACAACCTCACAGGGCTGTAGTAGCATCCACAGAATAACTATGGAGCCACTCCACGGGTTTAGGAGGCCCCTCCCTTTCCCTTGGGCATCTCCTCAGTACTCAGACTAGCCTCTCAGGCTGATATCAGGCTCGGGATTTGCCCCTCAGAAGTGCTGGAATTTTTATAGATGGGGTGCTGAGAGGTGAACCAAGGTGTAAACTCCATATATAATAGAGCAGCAGGGAGCAGCACCCCTAGTTCCAGTACCTATGCCTCAAAATTACACCAAAGTAAATTCAGAGTTACGACACAGATTTTGGTTACTTCATATTTACCTGAGATGAAATTAAGTAGAATTTGGCCCAATGTGTGTACAGGAAGGAGAAAGCAATTGAAACATTTTCTTTTAAATGGAACCACTTTCTGTCATCATTTATACCCCATACAACCTGCACAAGGTGAATAGGGTTGCGCAGTTTGTAAATCAGGTCTCCTGAGTAGGAAGCAGAAGATATAAGTGAAAGTAAAATCAACTCTTCAGGGTGGAGAGAAGTAACACGTAAGTTTAAAACAGACTGGCTTGTTGTAGGTTGTAAATACATAACGTGGATGACTGTAGTATTTCAGAAATAGCTAGGTTCATGCAGAGTAATAGAACATAGCAAATGCATTCAAAACCATTTGAAAATTATGGGCCAATTTCATCACTGGTAGTAAAATTCCTCTTACAGCAATGTCACTACATCTTAAGTGTTTGGTCTGTTAAGTGACAACCTATAAATTGCTGCAAGCCCTCTGAACACAGAACTCCCAATAACTCAACGGGAGTTTTGTGCATGATACCAAAAAGTGGGGTAGTAGGACAAAGATAAAATCACAGAGTGAAATCCTGGCTCTCTTGAAGTCCGTGGGAGTTTTGCCACTGACTTAAAATCAGGCCGGGATTTCAACCACTGAGGTTACAGTCCAGAAAGCATAATATTCATTTTTTTTAAACCCTAAAAAGAGACCAAGGCCTCCAAACTGCACCGATAGAAGTCAATGGGAGTTTTGCGTTTGACCTCAGTGGAATCATTCCTTATTTTATCTAAAACACTTATCCCCTCTGCAAACCAGTTGTTTTTGTAATGTCAAAACAGTAAATGTTACAGGAGAAGTCAACAAAAATACTACCTGAGTTTGGTAGAAAGAAGTTACTGGAGTAGATTAGTCAGATTTTGCACCTTTACATTGCATTCAATGCCTGCTATTATGGCCTGACCCAAACCCCACTGAAGTCAAGGCTTCAGATCAAGCTGTTATTCTCTAGCTGATGGTTACAGAATCACTTTGCAATTAGACTTACAGCTTCTGCTGTCATATACGGAGGGAGTGCTAGGATTTGTAAATGTTATGATTTTTGCTAGAAACCACAGACTGACCTACTTCACATTTGGGGACCAAATCGGGCAGCTCCAATTCAGAAGAAAGCTTCACAAAAAAAATTGACTTCAAGTTGTGCAAGTGACTGTGTTGAATCACTGTGTCAAAGTGAATTGAGACTGACAGTTCTTTACACAGTTCATCTCCTTGTAACCAAGTTAAAAGGCATCTATTCAAAAAATTAAACTTCTGTGAGACACAAATCATGAACTGTTTTATGTAATATACTGTGGACCTCCCTTCTAGTCAACTCTGATACAATTAAAATCTACTTTTCCTAAAAGAATCAGCCAATTAACAATTGAATGAAAGGGGGCAGATTGGGTTAGTTGGCATTTATTGTATCTGTAAATATAAAGAAGATTGCAAATATTCATATGTTTATAAGGGAAGAGCTTTTGAATCTGGAGAGTTGGTTCAGGCCCATCTGTCATTTACAGTGAATGAAAATGGGAGTCCCAAACTATTTCAATGCATTGCAATGTGCAAACTGCAATTACAGTGAACCACTGCATATAAATAGTGGTCCAGGTCAGCTGATGTAAATCAGCAGAGCTCCATTGGTTTTTGGACCAGTACTGTAAAAAATAAAAGTAAACCCACACTTAAAAAGCTCAAACCTTTAACATAAGAGGGTCCTACTGTATAGAATATAGCCCCTATTTTCAAAATAGCTCATCACCTGCAATAGATGCTGAACATTTCTGAAAATTTGGCTTGTATTTAGGTGCCTATATGGAAGCAAAGGTCTTCTGAAAATCTGGCCTAATTAGGCATTGGTGTTTGTAGACCACTGCCTATCATGCTGACCAATAGTGTCTCATTGTTCCCTTGTCCTTTCCTGTCTATCTAGATCCATCTGTTGTCTCTTGTTTTAAACTTAGATTGTAAGCATGTTGGAGCAGGGACCGTCTTCTTGTTCTGTGTTTGTACAGTGCCTAGCACAATGGGTCTCTGGTCCATGATTAGGGCTCCTAGGTACTTCAGTAATAAAAAAAAATAAAAATAATAATAAATGGAAGTGCTGAGCCCTTGAAATCTTTTGAAAATCTGGCCCCGTGACAGTCTCTGCATATAGAGGTAACCCTTTTA